GGGCGAGGCGGGGCGGGACGAGGCGACCAGGGGCGGTCGGTCCCGGCCAGCGCAGAGCGCAGAGGAGGTGGCGCGGGGGCGAGGATCTCACCGATCTCACTCACCACCCGTGGAGCCGCACAACAAGTTTAACGTCCGAGCCGAGAGATGAAAAATTCCACAGACAAAACTTTCCACTCCGACGCGCGCAAGAGAGAGCGGGGCGCCCCGCCCGCGCTGAGAGGAGGAGGAGGAGGGAGAGAGGAGAGAGCAGGGGGTGGCGCTGGCGCAGCGGGGCCGGGAGCGCCGCGTGGGAGCTGCTGTACCCCGAGCACTATCGCGATGTCCTTGTCCCGCCAAAAATAAAATTGAAAAGCGATAACTGTGTGCCATTCAGCATTATCTCCATTCACGGCGCAGCCCGCGGGGCCCCGGCCCGGCGGCGCTCCGAGCGCACCAAAGCGGCGAGGCGAGGCTTCTGGCGGGAAAACATTTTGCGTTTGCGTTGGGGGCCAGCACGACGGCGTGCTCACCACCCCGCCCCGAAACTCGGCCGAGGCCGTGGAGGGCATGGGAGGCAGGGCGACACCAACGACCATCGAAAGCGATCCTGTTATGGAACTTGGGGCCCGTTTTCACCCCTTCCTGGGCCCCACTTGCTAAGTTAATTAGCTCCATTTACGTCGAGTTTATGGAGCTTGGGACGAATAAGAAGTCTGCGGAGCCCCGTGGGGGCCGAGAGGCTAGGCGGGGCGTGGTGGGGCGGCGGTGCAAGTCCCCCCCGTGAGCCGGTGTGGCTCGGGGATAATTAAAGTCTGATGGCGCCCCGCCCCGCCCCGCCCCGCCCGCACGCCCGATCGGCACGCGGAGACTCCAGCGGGTCCCAGCGTCACATTATGTCCCGGGCCGCGAGCTGGAGCTGGAACCGTCCCGCCCGACACAAAACTTGAGATGGCACACTCACACCGACAACACCGGGCCGCTGCCGCCGCCGCCGCCGCCGCCGCCGCCGTTGTTGTTAAGTTTGCTTTACGAAACTTGGGACAACTTAATTAGCTGACCGAGGGATGGAGCTAAGTACACCGGCGGGGGCGGCCTTGGGGGGCGGGCCGGGGTCTGGGGTGTCCCGGTGGAGCGCGAGCTGGATACCGCCGCCGCCGCCGCCACCCTCACCACCTGAGCCCGTCCTGGAGCAGGACAACGAGGCCAGGACCAAAGCCGCCCCCCGTGCACACCAACCGGCTCCAGAGCAGCGGCAGCAGCGCGGGGGGCGCGGGCGCGAATCCCGAGCGTTTTGAATATTCAATGCGACGCACTGTTTGTGTGAGCGTGTGTGTGTGTGCGCGTGAGATTTACCGATCGGCCGCATTACAAATACCGAGAGGGCTCTGTGGGGGGAAAGGGAAGGGGACGCGCGGAGGAGGTGGGGATGGGGTTGGGAGATATAGGATGAACCGGAGAGAAAGGGAGGGTTAGAGGTGTGGTGGTGGTAGGAGGGTAGGAGGGTAGGAGGGTAGGAGGCAGGCCACTGGCGGCATTGTCTGAGCCCGTCGATACATACAGCAGCCTGGGGGCCCTTGGGGCCCAGGGGCTCAGCAGCACAAGCAGAGCGGCGCGCGCGCGCACACACACACACACAAACAGGAGCCCCTCCACAATGTACAATGTGCGCCGTCACCGTAAACTGAGTGGTTGGTAGTCAGCGTCCGCCACGATGTGTGTGGCGCAGGGCGGCAGCAGCGTGGTGCAGGAGGTGCAGGCAGAGGGCCTCGGTGTGCTTGTAGTAGGAGGCTGGTGCTGGTGCGCGCGCGCGCAGAACCACAACACCAGCAGGACAGACAGCCCCCCGGCTGTGTCCGGCCGGCGCCGGGCGAGGAACGAAGCGCGGCCGCGTTGGAGTGCGCGGGAGGCGAGCGAAAAGGCCGGGTTGTACTGTATACGGACCGCGCGGGGTGGGGGTGACCCTGCTGCAAACCCTGCGCCGCCCCGTCACACTGGGCCTCCGCGCTGGCTCTCACACCACCATACCGCGTCACGCCACACCACGCCACAGCTCAAGCCGATGATAAATTGATAATGAAATTGATAGTCCGGTCGGGCCTGGTCGGGCCGGGTCGGCTGCCGCCATGGGCCGGCCGTGTCAGCTGGCCCCCTACTAGCGGTGTGGTGCGGCACGGCCCCGGCCAGGCCGGGCCAGGCGGCGGCAATTAAAAGCTGGGGCCGCAAACGGAATCATTTGTCTTCCCCTCGCCGCGCTCGAGAGTGTAGAGGAGCGACACGTTACAACAACTGCAGCGGCGCATTAGCGGCGCCGGCGGGGCTGCACCGAGGCCAGGGCTGCGGTAGGCTGCACCAGGGCTGCAGCAGAGCGGCACCAGGACGGCAGAAGGGCTGCACCAGGGGTGACACCAGGACCAGGACTCACAAGGCTGCACCAAGGCCAAGGCTGCGCCAAGAGTGGCACCAGGACTGCACCAAGGCTGCTCCAGGGCTGCTCCAGGGCTAATGCTACACCCGGGTTGTACCGCTGCAGCACCCGGGCTTCACTGTGCACTGGGCTTGCACTTGGCGCTGCAAGGAGTGCGAACTGAACCGTGTTGGCCGGGGCTCTCTCTGCCTCTCTCCCGCAAAGCCGCGCCTCGGCCGCGGCCCCCACCCACCCACTCACACTCGAGCGCGAGAGAGGCAGGCCAGTCATAGCGGTCGGATGAATCAAGCGAGCAGGGTGCTTCAGCGGGACTTCCGCGAACACCACCCGGCGCGGCGGCGCGGCCTACGTCAGACGGGCCGCCGCCAGCTCCTCCAGGGTGGGGGGGGGGGGGGGCTGAGGGGGTTGGCCAGGCGCCGTGACGCGACGCCGCCCCGCGCCTTCTTCAGCTTCCACCATGGAGTATTAGACGTGGAGGGAGCACGAGGCCTCTGAGCCGTGCCAACACCTACTGCGCCAGCCACCACCGCAACAGTAGTCAGGGATTGTTTTGCATTCGTCAGGCCCTTGCCGAGCGCCGGTGGCGGCCGGACGTTTTATCACCGCAACCCGACCCGACTCCACCCGCTCCAGCCCACTAATTCTTTACCTTCAAATTCATAGAAGAGTGATCCTATGACGATTTTTCTTTTCATACCACCGTCTTATTCTCATTTTTCTCTTTCAAACCCAATGTCAATTGAAGTCGTAGGCCGATTTTGAACCGAAAATGTATTTGACATGCGCACAGTGCGGGCGTGGCTGTGTGTAATGTCACGAGTATGAGTATGAGTGAATCACAGTGGTTTTCGGTTCAAAATCGGCCTACGACTTCAATTGACATTGGGTTTGAAAGAGAAAAATGCGAGTAAGACGGTGGTATGAATAAAAAATTCGTCATAGCATCACTCTTCTGTGAATTTGAAGGTAAAGAATTAGTGGGGTGGAGCGGGTGGAGTGGGGTCGGGTTGCGGTGATAAAAGCGTCCGGCCGCTACCGGCCGTCGCCGGCGCTGACGGAGTCAAAACAATCCCTGACTGGCGTTGCGGTGGTGGCTGGAGGAGCAGTCCCACGTATTCTGCAATCGGCCACCGCGACATCTCGGCACGCGGCCGTACCATGGGCTGGTATAGGCAGCGCTCCCTCCACGTCTAATATACTTCCTCCATGGCTTCCACACAGCGAGTCGCCGCCTCAACTTCTCATAGTACTAGCGGTACACCAAACCATACTGCAAATTGTGATACCAGCAAGCCACTTTGCACACTTGTTCCTAACACCCAAATGGTCGATTTGGCCCGTAGCACCTGTCTGATTTTTGCTGCGGGGGTAGGTTTTTCGGGGGTAGTATGAGAAAACTACCCCCAAAAGTCGACGCCACTAATATTGAGCTACAGGCTTCATCCGGGAGTCGATCCCGACTAAATTGGACCCTAGGAACTCGAAAATGCAAGAAAAAAAATTCTCCGGCCAAAACTACTACTAATTTTGGTCAATTTATGAGAAATTTCACCTAAATTAGTATATTTTGTAAATTAACAGTTCAGGTCATGCTGGGTATCGATTCTATGGTTTTGAGGGCGTACAAACCTCTAGGGATGGTTGAAATGTCGGTGGGGTACTTTTTTCATGGCGCATGTAAAGTGGGGTGTAGTTAGGAGTCGTGATAAAATCACCGTCAAATTTCGATGACGACCACACCGACCTACATGCGTTATGTGAGGGTGGATTTCGACTAAATTAGACCTGTGGAACTCGAAAATGCAACGGAAAAAACTCTCCAGCAAAAATTAGAGCTGATTTTGGGTCATTTTAGTAGAAATTTTGTCGAAATTGGTCGATTTTCTGAGTTGATGTTTCTGGACAAGTTCAGTATCGATTCTATGGTTTTGATGGTATACAAATCGCGAGGAATGTTTAAACTAATGGTGGGGTATCTTTTTCACGCTTTAGCTATCGTAGAGTTCACTTTTTTTAAATGACATTTAAACACCGACGTTGGTAATACTGAGCTAAGGGCTTGATCTTCGAGTCGGAACCCGACGGGGAAATCACTTGCGAAATATTTCGTACACCTTACCCTGAAATAGTCCGAAATAATAGTGAAATAGAGGCGAAATAGTCGGTAAAATAGTCGCGAAATACCCCTGAAATACTCCGAAACACTGCGAAATACCCTGAAATAATCCGAAATAGGCGAGAAATATCCG